GACATTCACACCAAAAATGTATTGAATTATGTCACGGAAGTCTTTCTCCTTGTGTCCGCACCACTTCCTAGAAAACAAAAGAAATTAACTGAATTAACTGGCAACTGTTAACAAGTAAGACATTTCAATTAAAGATATGATCTTCTGTTCCATGTTTTAATCTGTCATTTGATCTAAAAATGCTTTTTTAGGTCAGAGTTGAAATAACTCCAGAGGCTGGTATCCCAACACAGGAGAGTCCTTGACACTGACGCAGCTCCCTCAGAGCCAGCTCCTAAAATGTACAGAACCCCTGACACTCCTGTTTATATTGTCAGCCAGGGCTCCCTGGTTGGACCAGATTAACATCCCCAATCAGGGAACTCATATTCTATGAAATCGAACTGGCTGATTTCTGTCCAATCACGTTGCCAACTAGCACCTTTTAAACATCCCTCTTTTTTAAACTCAGATCAGCTGTAGCCTCCCAAAACAAAGTATACTCACAAGTGTTTTTGTTTGCAGTGCGTCAGCGTAGTTAGTAGTCTTGATTGTTTGACAGAAACTTCCAGTCACATTGGTGATGAAGAATAACTGTTAGGAAAACAACTTTTCACATCAATCACTTTTGCACCAACTTGTTGCCACTTCCTGGTTCCAGCTACCACTGTCACCATGAAGTTCTTTCTAGTTTTCTATACCTAACACATACCACAAAGCATCAGGTTCATATCAAGTCAAAAATCAAGAAGTTCATGAACAATTAACTACATTCACTGATATGACATCCGAGACTTACATATACAGTTTGGCTTACATGGTTAGTTTACTATGACATGACACTCACAGTTAAAGGGCTGTCCAATGGGCTGCTTGTTCACAGACCAACTGCCAACTAGGCAAACTTACAGCAATAGCAGCAAATACTTGGTGATTGGAAGCTGCGAGCGGTTCCTGCCTCAGCATGTTCTGGAGTAGGAGGCAATCAGAGGAGGTGGCTTCAGAGGCAGCAGCAGTGATGGCATCGCAGCTTCGTCGGGTCTGGAGAGTGGACTTTGTCATTTGGAGTACAGCCCAATGCGGGAAGAGCGAGCAGTGAAGGACGATCCCCGATATCTCCAGCAGCAACTGCGGTGAGAACAGGCGGCTGAGGTCTCCCAGTGAGTGGCTAAGTAGAGGAGATTGGGGCCCAATTATGGTTAAGCACACATGAAAGACTATTGAACTTTTAACTTTATTTCTTTATTTTTCTTGTTTATATCAAGAAGGTCTATAATGTTAACTATTACCTTTTTTTTTATTTTTCTACTTATACTCTGATGGCCTGTAATTCTAAACTTCTTAAACTTTGTTTCTCTCTTTTACTACTTTGTGACTAAGTTTTTGGTACCTAGCTACCTTTGTACTGAAGATGGCACTGGGAATGGCGACATTGTACACTTTTCACTGTACTCCTGTACTTGAGTACATGTGAGAATAAAATCTAAATCCAAAGATGGAGGACTCTTATTCTGGAGTGTTGCATGTTGTGGTGTCATCTGTCTTTAAGGAACAGCACTTTTCTGAGATCTCAGTGCTAATAAAAGACTCACCATTATGAAGACTTGGTATAGATTCCATATTTATTCATTGAGATTAATACTCCATCAATTCCTTCTGTGGGATTTGAACTGACTTCCCTGGAATATTAGCCGAGGCCTCTTGTTTATTAATCTAGCAACACATTACCACTATATCAATCTGTCCCTCATTAAGATCACTGAATTAAACTGCAATAAATGTTCAGTACTCACTGCTGTTTTCTTCCCTGCTCATGGGAACGGGTCTATTCACAACACTTTAAAAGAGGACAATATGGCCAACACCAGGAAAGCAATGTGTTTAGTACGTGACCTATGCTCACAATACGAGATTCCTAATTTATTCCATGCTGATAATAGATAAGATCCTGTGTAATGAGAGCTGAGAGACTGACCTCTGTTCATTCTTCGTTTGCCCGCTCATGAAAACAATCAATACGACTGGCTGAAAGTTGAGCCGACTGCTATGGATTGCAGGGATCTGTTGCTATGTTTCTCCAGTGTTGAAGGCAACTCCCCTGACTTCTCTTACCACATGGGAGCTGGTGGCTCTGAAACACAACAGATATCAAGCAAACATCAATTTAATCACAGTCTGGAGAGGGGCAGCAGCTGGGGAACCTGGAGCAGGATGTTTGGCAATCGGCAGCATCACAGCTCCTTACAGTCCAGAGTGCGGTAGCGGCTAGAGACCTGGATCGGGGCTTTGATGATCGGAGATCGAGCCCAATGAGAGAAGAATGGGCCCAACACAGCGGAGTGGGAGCTCCCTGGTATCTGCGGTGTTGGCGAGAGTAGGCAGCTCACAGTCTCCCGGAGATTGGGCCAAAGCGGAGGAGGTCGATCCCTTGTAGGGAGTGTGAACTCAGCATGGCGAAGCAATTAAGAAAGACTGTGGAACTTTTAACTATATTTCTTTGTTTTTCTACTTTATACTAAGAAGGACCATAATGATTAACTTTTAACTTTATTTCATTGCTTTTCTACTTTGTACCCAAGATTTTGAACCTAAGACAATGCCGGGAATGGTGACATTGTACATTTTTCACTGTATTCATGTACTTCTGTATTTCAGTATACGTGACAATAAAATCTAATTCTAATTCTATGTAAGCTTCCAAAACTTCATCAAATAAGATAAGGAAACAAAGTACAGGAAAGAACCAACCCATGCAGTATCATAAAGGAACAGACATGTTTGAATATTCCATACATATTTCCTGCAATCACTTGCAAGTTCCATAAATACTGTGTGGAGGTGGCTCAAAAACAACATGGTCCACTTCAATTACTTAATGAAGATGAACATGATCACGAATTGCTTTCCCTTCCTTTTTTGCAATACAGTTTTGGGTTTTATAGTCTGGTCATCATCCCCATTGAGAAAAATTGAACCAAAGAGGCACTGGGAGGAAGAGAGGGAACAACAATGTTGTAGCATCAGCATGCTGAGTGCAAAATTGTTCACTGAAACCTCCGTGACGTCCTAATCATAATGTGCTAGTGGGAGGAAGAATCACAGGGAAAGCTTTCTGAAGGGTCCCGACCCGAAACATCAGCTTTCCTGCTCCTCTGATGCTGCCTGGCCTGTTGTGTTCCTCCAGCTCTACACCATGTTATCTCAGACTCCAGCATCGGCTGTTCTTACTATCTCTGACATGGTAAACTCTTGCCTTGCCCCTCTCCAAGCTCAATGGGCAAATTGAAGATTAAAGTTATTGTGCTTTTGTTCTATGCCTCTTGGTGTCAGCTCAGAGTTACATTAAGTGGTACTTTGAAGGTAAGAATCCACTTAGTCATACAGCCATAAGATGTGCATCACAGAAACAGATACTACGGTCCATCTTGCCCATGCTGACCAGATATCCAAAATGAATCTAGTCCTAATTGCCAGCATTCGGCCCATATCCCTCTAAACCCTTCCTATTCATATACCCGTCCAGATGCCTTTTAAATGTTGTAATCATACCGACCTCCAGCCGTTCATTGGCAGTTCATTCCACACATGCTCCACCCTCTTCATGAAAACATTGCCACTTAAGTCCTTTTTATATCTTTCCCCTCTCACCTTAAACCTATGCCCTCTAGTTTTGGACTCACTCACCCTGGGAAAAAGACCTTGGCTATTCACCGTATCCATGCCCCTCATGATTTTATAAACATCTGTAGGGTTACCCCTCAGCCTCTGATGCTCCAGGGAAAATAGCCCCAGCCTATTCAGCCTCTCCCTATAGCTCAAACCCTCCAAGCTTGCCATCATCCTTGTAATCTTTTCTGAACCCTTTCAAGTTTCACAACATCTTTCCCATACCAGGGAGACCAAAACTGAACACAGTATTCCAAAAGTGCTCATAAAGCTGAAAAGCTTCAGCAACATGTCTCTAATCAGAAATATATTTTTCTCTTTATCCAGCCATATCCTAAACCGATCACATGATGTCAAAAGGAAGTAGGCAGAATAATGCCAACACAGTCCCAAAGCCATTCTCAAGCCACGCACCAGCATGTCTGCAATTTCCCAGTTTGATCCATGTTTTCTTTCTTCCCTTTCTTTGTGAATGTGATTCCTTTCCCTGCCATGTTTCACGCCAACAATCCATCAAACTGGAACACTTACTGATTGGATGCGTGAACCTGTGACTTACCACTAATTGACACAGCAATCTTCAATGGCACCAGACTAACTCCATTTCCAACTGTTTACTTTCATCCACAGTAAACAGTGGTCATCTGAACCACTACTGCAAAGAACATCTCAACACATTTAAAAGTTCTTTTTTTTTATTAAATCATTTTATAAAACATAAATAAAAATTACAAGCTTCAGAAAATCACAGAAAGAACGACGTTGAACAAGTTGTATTTGCACTCAGTATCAATGATAGCTTCCAGCCTGTGCTCCTTTGCTTGCAATACACCTAGTGCAGAGCTAAATCGTTTCTTTACGATCACCTGATTACTCTATCAAAACTATATAGGATCACTTTGTTTATTGCTCTTATAGTCAGTAAGCACATCCATTTCAGAGGAATACATGTACAGTTACAATTGCATTGGCTAGAAAATGCGGCTTCTGAAAATAAGCTCCTCACCTCTCTATTGGCTCAATAGGGATAGGGCCTGCATCTCCTCTCTCAAGTCAGGATAAAATAATTACATGGACTGAGAATATTTTGCCTGATCTGGGTCAAGTTAATTTCACAAGGGATAGGCACTTGTACAATGTTCTTTGTATTACTGAACTGTCAGTGCACTTGGTAAGGGGTCTCCTTCAAAATTCTGTTTGAGAGGGACAACACAGTGTGGAGCTGGAGGAACATAGCACGCCAAGCAGCATCAGAGGAGCAGGAAGGTTGATGTTTTGGGGCAGGACCCTTCTTCAGAAAAAGGATCCCGACCCAAAACATCAACTTTCCTGCTCCTCTGATGTTGCCTGGCCTGCTGAGTTCCTCCAGCTCCACACTGTGATGTCCCCGACTCGAGCATCTGCAGTTCTTGCTATCTCTTTGAGATGACATGTTTAGTAAATGCAACTTATTTGGTCTTTGCCCCATGCAGTGGTTAACCTTGGCTAGGTGTTATATTTCCAACTTCTCCTTCCTCTTTAAGATCAAGATGAGCCATAACCAACTCTAGAAAGGTTAGGTCATGGAGAAAGACGTCTGATTCCTGAGAATGAAGTGAGTCTTTCCTTCTATATTCCACGATGCCAGACACCAATCTGACAACGTCAAGCAAGTAGGTGGACATAGCAATTTGTTAACCTGGCAGCAACATTGATACCTCCCTGGGAGAATACACAGGCGTGTGCTGAAGTGACTTGGTATAACAAACACCTTTTTGAAAAGTATGAGCACTAACATCAACATGTTGTAACTTTCCTTGAAGACAGGGAAATGTAACTAAAAGTAGCATCAATCCTGTTTATATTGGCCCCAAAACTGCTCAATAGCAGCTGTCGTCATGTTAAAGATAGCTACTATTCTACATTCATGCTCTATTGCCTATTTATGACAACTGAGTCCACCGTTATACACACAGCTAAGACCTCTGCTCAGCAGCATTTGTACAAAAATAGAGAACACTGCGAGTAACAAAGGACCCTTCCTGCACTTCATTCTGCTGTACTTTATATTGACATTTAGTAATACAACAATCTGATTATTGAAATACATGTGTATGGATTGAGAAAGCACTTCAAGTGGCACAAAATTACTTCTGAAAACATTCAAATCAAGATCGGTATTTATGTTGTGTTACAGCTTTGGACATTACATCGCTATCACGCTGCTTGTGGATTCCTTTCAGATTCCCTTTGTTCAAGGTTTGATGAGTTTTCAGTGTTTTGCCTGGGGTCTGCTCCTTATAAATTCCTAGCTGAGTTCTGGTCCTCCTGAGCCGTTCAGCTAGTTCCGAAACATCTTTAGCTGAAGGTGAAGCAAGTGGCTGGTTCATCCGAGCAGGGGAATAGAGACACCTGCACCCAAAACAATACAGAGTAATTAAATTGAATACTTAGCCTCTGCATCCACCTTTTACATTCAAAATGTCAGTGATATTCAAATTAAACCACCAAGCCCAGTACAGTCCTCTGGAACTTTACAGTACAAAAGGAGGCCATTCAGCTCATTGCACCTGCACTGACTCCTTGGTTAATCATTAGTCCCACTCCCCTATTCCTTTCCCATAGCCCTACAAATCTTTCTCTGTCATGTTTATTTCCATTTCCCTTTTAAAAGAATTCAAACTGCTTCCTTTAGACAGGAGCTTTCCAGTGTCTAAGAAATCAGTGCTTAAATAAAAGTCTGTCTACTCTCACCTTTTTTGTTGTTAATTATCTTAAATTTGTGTCCCTCGACTATGGCCCTCTTATCAGTGGAAACAGTTCTTCCCCAACTTGATTAAATCTCCTCTCTGCTCTAAGGCGAAAATTAGCTACCTCAGCCTCGGAAAAAGACCCTTCAATTCCCTTTGTTTCAAAGTGGGTCATGCAACCAATTCCCTGTGGCATTTCTCATGAGAAATGTCAGAAATTTATGCCTAAATGAATAAATCAAAATAAAATCAGGAAAGGCCAGAATTGCACAATAGACACAATTAACATTTTCCAATGTAACCGTTCTTCAGTCCTATTTCTCCTTTCAGCTAAATTGGTGGGGCCATCTAAAAGAAGGCATTCTTGCATCTGTCCTGATGAGTGCAAAATGAAGAGATTCAGCAACATGTCTCTCTTTTCAGGAATGCAGTATGGGTTTATTCTTCCTACGCAAAGGCCAGACAAAACTGAAGGTTCAATGCTAACGGATTTCAGAAATAAAGAAAATTGGAAGGGGGAAAACGAGGAAATGTTCCAAAATACCAGGAGAAGAATGCAGCTGACATGTTTTGGGAGAATCGAGCTGGAGAAATCAGCAATACAGCTAAGTTACAGTCAATTTCAAGATCAACGGTACCAGCTGGAAAAGGACGTATCATTCCTGAAGTTTAGGTGAAGTTTAGTTAGACCAGAATAAATGATAAAGAAGCAAAGGTCAGATGAAAATGGGAGAGGAGAGAGATAAGGTCAGTAGGACATCATCTGGGCAGATGAGTAATCAATTTAATGGTTATCAACACATGTTTGAAAAATCAAAAGAAACTCAGATCACAATGTGAAATCAAGCATGACTGATGAATTGCGTAAGTCGAACCTTACTTAACGGAAGTTGCTCATGTAGAAACAAATCTAATTGCAGATGGATGCCCTTGAAGTTGAAAACTGGATTGTACAGTTTGGAAAGTAGTTTTTTGTTCATGTGCCGCTGTTGCTAAATATATACTTTTTAAACATTTTGCCACACTTTTCAGTGTCTTCCTGGGTCCCCTTACGCTTTCAGTCTGTCAACGCCTCTCAGGTTCAATCTGTGTCTAGGAAATTTAAGATTATCAGATCACAAGGTACAGGGGCAAAAATAGGCCATTTGGCCCATCAAGTCATCTCTGTCATTCAATGAGATCATAGCTGATCTGATAATGCACTACTCCACTTTTCTGCCTTATCCCCACATCTCTTTAATCCCTTACTTATTAAAAATCTATCTCAGCCTGAAATATGCTTAATGACCTCAAGCACTCAGTGGTAAAGACTTCCACTAATTCACTACCCTCAGAGAAGAAATTCCTCCTCAGCTCTACCTTAAATGGGTGACCCCTTATTCTGAATTGATGCTCTCTGGTCATAGACTCAAAACAACGTCTCAGCATCTACCTTGTTAGGTGGGTCCCGACCCGAAACATCAACTTTCCTGCTCCTCTGATGCTGCCTGGCCTGCTGTGTTCATCCAGCTCCACACTGTGTTAATTCCCAAGAACCTTGTGTGTTTCAACAAGGTCACCTCTCATTCTTCAAAACTCCAATAAGGAGAAGGCCAACCTACCCAACTTCTCTTCCTAAGACTGCCCCTCCATACTCAGATCAACCTTCTCTGGACTCCCTCCATTGCCAGCCTATCTTTCCTTTGGTAAAGGGAACAAAACTATTTATAGTATTCCAGGTGTGCTCTAACTTGCACCTTGTAGAGTGTTAGCAAGACATCCCAATTTTCATAGAATCCCTACAGTGTAGAAGGAGGCCATTTGGCCCATCGAGACCATGCCATCCCTCCAAAGAGCATCCCACCCAGGCCCCAATCTTATCCTTGTAACCCTGCATTTCCCTTGGCTAATCCACCTAACCTACACAGCTCCAGACACCATGGGTAATTTACCATGGCCAATCCACCCTAACCGGCACATCTTTGGACTGTGGGAGGAAACCGGAGTACCCGGAGGGAACCCACACAGACACGGGGAGAACGTGCAAACTCCACACAGACGGTTGTCTGAAGTTAGAATTGAATCTGGGTCCCTAACGCTGTGAGGTAGCAGTGGTAACAACTGAGCCACCCAAAATGACTCTAATCGTTTTGAAATAAAGGCCAGCATTCCACTTCCTTCCCTATTTTGTGCTGAACCTATCTGCAAGTTTGGCAGCATTCAAAACAAAAACCTAACAACTGGTTGACATTCAGAAAAAAATGTCTTTGCATGACTAGATTAAATTCAAACGAATAAAATGAAAATATCCCGTTCGAGGTTGAGACGCTGGTCAACATTTGACAGATGGAAATGCTTCCAGAAGTATCCAACAAAATGATTTCCATGTCTCGGTGTAGCGAAGAGCAAATAACTAATTAGGATTCAAATTACAGCCTGCTGGAAAGGGAGCAAATATTCCCAAAGGTTGTTGATGGAGAGTTGTCAAATGTGAAACTACTGGTTGAATAAGTTTAAATTTATTTTGCTTTAAATCAACTAAGCAATTAATTTGACAATGATGTATATCTCCTGTCAATTGGAATGCCACAGTTTTTTCTCCCTATCTCCATGTTCAGATTCAGGCTTTCCCACAATCCTTGCTTCAGGTCCCTCTCTGGAATGTCAAAAAGCTCAGCATACCTCCCCAAGGTATTAGTCAGAAACTGCTATGTTCCTCATGTGGAAACACTACAACAACATCTTGCATTTTTGGAGCATCTCCGATAATTATTAAATGCCTCAAGGTACTTTCAAGTACTATTTGGCACGGTGTCACATAATAAGATAGTAGCACAGAGAAATTTAAGAAAGGAATTTCAGGGCTTAGGACCCAATTGGCAACAGGACCTGTTACCGATGGGATAAATATTGGGGACGTGCAATTCAGCAGTGCTCTCAGCGGGTTGGAGGTTGGAAGGAAGTCATAGAGATTCAGGAATGGTAAATCCATGGAAAAATTTGAAACCAAAAATGTGAAGTTTAAAATAGAAACATTGCCTGACTGACAGGAAATAAAGATTAGGGAGCAGAGAGATAATGGATTAGAAGATCGCGAGTGGAACTTGGCATGAGTTGAGATATCGTCAGCAGAATTCTGGATGCGTTTACTGAAGGCAAGACTGGAAGTCTGACCAGGAAAGCAGGGGAAAAGTCAGGGAGAAGAAATGCGCGGATGAGGGAGCTGACGTAGTGAGGTAAAGAGTCGAAGTTACAAATGTGAAAATGTACATAAAACTGCTGATGGGATTGATATACAAGCAAGGCATTCTCATGCCTCTTCTTAAACAAAACTACTGCAGGAGTCACTGCGAAGACTGACATAATCCATTTGCCTATTGAGCTAACCAGTTTCAACATGGATTGGTGCAGCAGATGGTAGCATACCTGGTTGTATTTTCATACTCATCCTTGGCTGTCTTCTTCATTACTGGTTTGCTCTCACATTTCCCCTCGCTGGTGATGGCACTGACAGTGCAGGTATATTCAGTGTTTGCAGTCAGGCGCCTCGCCGTGAAGGAGCGATCTGGACCCAGGTACACCACCCTTCCGTTCATGCACAGTTCAAAGTTGAAGAGGCGTCCGAGGGACACCTCGGGCATGTCCCAGGTGATGAACATCTCGTTCCTCCCCAGGACATTGAGAGTCAGCTTGCTGGGAGCGTGGTCACCGGGATCAGCGGTGCTCGCTGCAAGGCAGGACTTGGCCCCTTTCCCTTTGCTCGTGCTGGCACACACATGGAACACGTAGGATTTCGAAGGCACGAGGCCACTGACTATGCAGGTACGTTCTGATGTCGTTTCGATCACCGTGTCGCCTTTGTACACCATGTAACACTTTATGACGCCATTGGGCTCAGCTGGTGCATTCCATGCCAGCTTCAATTGTGTGGGAGTGCAGCCTATCACCCGAAAATCAAGTGGGCAACTTGGCACTGACTCTTCAACGGTCACCGTGGTAATGTCACTGTAGAGACCATCATCTCCCTCGGTGGAAACATGGAGCCTGAAAGCATACTCTTTGCACAGTTTGACCTCTGCTAGAACATAGCTGCAGTCAGGACCTTTGTACAGTAGGTTATCACCATCGAACAAGCTGAAAACAGAACCAAACAGAACAAAAGGACAAACAAATTTAGAGCAACTTTAGCTTCATAACCAACTTCTAAGACAATATTAGAATACATGCACCCCCACACCTTACATCCCCTTAGCAACAGTATCCAGACGTGTAGACAATGGTGCTGAGTACCTTTGGATGGTTTCACACATTCCCCAATGTCTCTATGAACTAGGAAAGATTCACCAGTGATAACTGATTTTAGTTCAAGTGGTGAGCTACTGGCTTGGCCTCAGCATGTCTAGAGTAAATAATTTTGTGACTGTCAGTGTCCCACTTGTTTGTCCACTCCCTCTTACCACACCCAGCAAAATAGCCTTTTATTGCCAAGGATTTCTCACTGGAAGGGACAACACGACAGAAGCTGGAACATCATCACACCCAGGTCACAGAAAGTCAAGGAGGCAGGGATGAGAGGAAGGGTTGGTCATGGGATGAGGCCGGGGGTGGAGAGATTTGTCCTGACCTCTGATGCTGCCTGACCTGCTGTGTTCCTCCAGCTCTACCCTGTGTTATCTTAGCTCAATCTACGTTCACACTGTTACAGAGTGATATCCAGGCTAAGTGGACCTGTGATCCCCGTGCACGCTCCGGTCACTTAACAAATTTCCTCAAAACAAAGCGAGCTATGAATACTCACCATTATTTCACATTGAAGTTATTAAATAGGATCTGATTTTGTGAGGCATAAGACAGAGGCTGATCATAAGACAAGATAACATCTTCAATGACAATTCATTTCCTGTATAGATCTACACAGCTTCATAGATAGTAGGAACTGCAGATGCTGGAGAATCTGAGATAACAAGGTGTAGAGCTGGATGAACACAGCAGGCCAAGCAGCATCAGAGGAGCAGGAAGGCTGACGTTTCGGACCTAGACCCTTCTTCAGAAAGCTTCATACACAGCTTCATATCTGCTCTGTATATATATATATGATAACAGTATCTTTGACACAGTGAAACATCCCAAGGTGTTTCACAGAACCAACATAAATCAAAGAGCCACAAAAGGAGTAATCAGAAACAAAACAGAAGTTGCTGGAAAAGCTCAGCAGGTCTGGCAGCATCTGTGAAGAGAAATCAGAGTTAACGTTTCGGGTCCGGTGACCCTTCCTCAGAACTGATGGTAGCTAGGAAAATGTCGGTTTTCATGCAGAAGTAGGGGGCTAGAACATGGGAAGAGTTTAGGCCCTAAAATTATTGAACTTGATATTGAGTCCGGAGGGCTGTAGGGTCCCCAAGGAGTAAACAGTCATTTATCAAAAAACTTCATCAAAGATGTAGGTTTTAATGAGTGTCTGAAAGAATGAAAGTAAAGTTGAGAGATGTAGGGAACATATTTCAGAGTTCAGGTGCTAGGCAACTGAGGGCATGGCCATAGATGATGAAAGAATTAAAATTGGGGATGCTCAAGAGGCTAGAATCAAGTCACCATAGTCTTACCAAAATATAGGCTGCTCTTTTATTAGAGAGAGACAACTGATGGTGATTTAACTAGAGGGCTACCACCTGTCAGGTGAGGAGAAAAGTTGAGAAGGAAAGTCCTTCATGGTAACCTCAGCTGGTGCAGAAATTGAACCTCTGCTGTCAGTATTACACTGCTTTGCAAACCAACTATGCAGCCAACTGAGCTAAACAGACTCCCAGAGACTAGAATAAGAGGAGCACCAATATCACGCAGGACTCGGAGGATGGAGCAGATTGGAGCAATAGGCAAGGCCATCGAGGGATTTGAATTCATTAGTGCAAGTTTTTTTAATCAATGCACTGGTTGAGCAGGAGCCAGTGTTGGACAGTGAGCATAAGGCTGATGGATGAATGGGATCTGGTGCAGGTTAAGACATAGCCAGAGGTACAGATGATCGCAAGTCCATGGAGGGCAGAATATGAGAAACCAGCACAGGAGTCATTGTTAAACCCACATGTACCAAATTGGGTTTTCAACAGCAGAACAGCTGAGACAAGACAAATGTTACAAATGACAGAGCGAAATAATCCCACAAACCAACAGATCAGATCTAAGCTCTGCAGTCCTGCCACATCCAATCATGAATGGTGCTAAAAAATTAAACAACTCACTGGAGGAGGAGGCTCCACAAATATCCCCATCCTCAATGATGGAAGATCCCAGCACATCAGTGCAAAAGATAGGGCTGAAGCATTCTCAACAATCTTCAGCCCGAAGTGCCAAGTGGATGATCCACCTTGGCCTCCTCCAGTGGTCCCCGACATCACAGATGTCAGTTTTCAGCCAATTCGATTCACTTTACAGGATATCACTTCCATAAGATTTCATGAGATTCAAGATGGTGGCAGAGTAGCCGGGGCTGTATGCAGGCTCTTGCCAAGGGCTTAGCCGCTCCTGCATGTTTTGTTTCTTTCCCCCCATTTTTACTTCTGCTCTTTGTCTTTCATTTTTGTTTTCTTTTGTTTTTCTTTGCTTTGGAGCCTTTCGCAGTGGGTTAGTTGGCATGGAGGCTAGAGTGGGCCATGCGCAGGATGCCAGCTCCTCCTGGTGGTCACAGGCCACCTCAGACGGGGGGGCTCCTCATGGTGACTGGAGGTAACAGCCGCAGCGGGAACATCCTCCTGCTGATCGGGACAGCAGCTGCAGCAAAGTTCCTCCTGTAGTCGGAGGAGGCAGGGACAGAAGATTTTTCAAAATGACGGCGCCAGCGATGCGACATCTCGGAGGTGTGGGGGGGTTGCGGTGCTGCTGGAGTGGGCCTCTTGGCGAGATTGTGGTGGTGGCCTGGTCTGGCAGCAGAGCTGGGGACATCCTAGGCGGCACGCTGTCTCAGCGGTTAGCACTGTTGCCTCATGGCGCCACGGACCCAAGTTTGATCCCAGCCTCGTGTGACTGTGGAGTTTGCATGTTCTTTACCCCCCTCCCTACCCATCCCCAGTCTACGTGGGTCCCCTCCCGGGGCTCCGGTTCCCTTCCCACAGTCTGAAAATGTGCACGTTAGATGGACTGGCTATGCTAAATTGCCCATAGTGTCTAGGGTGGGCCCGGATGGGATGCTCTTTAGAGGGTCGGTGTGGACTTGATGGGCCGAATGGCCTGATTCCACACTGAATGGATTCTAAGGCTGAAGTAGGCCTAGAGTCAAGACTCCTGATGTGACTGAGGTAAGAGCAGAGCTGGGGACTCCTACTTACGGCGTAAGCATGGCTTCAGCTAGGACAGGCATCAGCAGGGTGCAGCCAGCAGTGAAGACATGGTGCTTAAAGTGTGACAACTCCAGCACTGGCACCTCCAGTGGAGGCGGGGTGGTGGTGCAGGTCTCAAGACTCTCTTTCAGTTACGTCGTTTATCCTTTTTATTCTTAAACTATTCAAAATGGCGCCGGATTGTAGAAACTGTTGAAGCTTTTCAATGTATTTTACTGCATTACTCAATGTAAAAGCAAGTGACAATAAATAAATAAATAAATAAATCATTCATATCAAGAAACAGTTTCAGTACTGCAAAAACTATGGGCCCTGACAATGGAAGATTTGTGCTCCATAACTTGCCACTACCCTGGCTGATCTGTTCCAGTACAGTTACAACACCGGCATCTGCCTGGCAATATGGATAATTGCCCAGGCATGTCCTGTACACAAAAAGCAGGACAAATCCAACCCGGCCAATTACCGCCCCATTAGCCTATTCTCCATCATCAGTAAAGTGATGGAAGGTGTCACCAACAGTGCTATCAAGCAGCACCTGCTCAGCAATAACCTGCTCAGTGATGCCCAGTTTGGGTTCCAACAGGGCCACTCAGCTCCTGAACTCATTACAGCCTTGGTTCAAACATGGACAAAAGAGCTGAATACCAGACGTGAGGTGAGAGTGACAGCCCTTGACATCAACGCTGCATTCAACCGAGTGTGGCATCAAGGACCCCCAGCAAAACTGGCATCAATGGGTATCAGGGGGCAAACGCTCCGGTGGTTGGAGTGATACCTGGCACATAATAATATATTTGTGGTTGTTGGAGGTCAGTCATCTCAGCTCTAGGATATCTCTGCAGGAGCTCCTCAGGGTAGTGTCCTAGGCCCAACCATTTTTAGCTGCTTCATCAATGACCTTCCCTCCATCATAAGGTCAGAAGTGGGGATGTTTGCCAATGATTGCACAATGTTCAGCATCATTCGTGAGTCCTCAGACACTGAAGCAGTCAGTGTTCAAATGCAACAAGATCTGGACAATACCAAGGCTTGGGTTCACAAGTGGTAAGTAACATGCATGCCACACAAGATGCCAGGCAATGACCATCTCCAATAAGAGACAATCTACCCACCACCCCATCAATGGTGTTACCATCACTGAATCCCACGGTATCAACATTCTTGGGGTTACCTTTGACCAAAACCTCAAGTGGAATCACCATATAAACACAGTGGTTACAATAGTAGGTCAGAAGCTAGGAATACTGTGATGAGTAACTTACTTCCTGATTCCCCAAAGCTTGTCTATCTTTCACAAGGCACAAGTCAGGAGTGTGATGGAATACTCCCCACTTGCCTGGATGGGTGCAGCCCCAACAACACTCAAGAAGTTGACACCATCCAGGGCAAAGCAGCCCACTTGATTGGTACCACATCCACATGCATCTATTCCCTCCACCACTGACGCTCGGTAGCAGCAATGTGTACTTTCTACAAGATGCGCTGCTGAAATTCACCAAAGATCCTCACACAGCACCTTCCAAACTCACGACCACTGCCATCTAGAAGGACAAGCGCAGCAGACGTATGGTAACACCACCATCTGCAAGTTCCCCTCCAAGCCACTCACCATCCTGACTTGGAAATATATCACTGTTCCTTCAGTGTCGCTTGTTCTAAATCCTGGAACTCCTTCCCTAATGGCATTGTGGATCTACCTACAGCACATGTACAGCAGTGGTTCAAGAAGGCAGCTCACCACCACCTTCTCAAAGGTCAGCTAGGGATGGGAAAGAAATGCTGGCCAGCTAGTGACATCCATGTCTCACAAGAGAATAAGGAAAAATTGTAAAAGATGTTTTCTAAACGCTGAAATAGTAAGAACTGCCGATGCTGGAGTCAGAGATAACACAGTTTGGAGCTGGAGGAACACAGTGGGCCAGGCAGCATCAGAGGAGCAGGAAAGTTGACGTTTCAGGTCGGGACCCTTCTGCAGAAAGGTTCTCTTTAATAATACTCTGATAATAATAATTTTCTAATGAAGGGTCCCGACCCGAAACATCAACCTTCCTGCTCCTCTGATGCTGCCTGGCCTGCTGTGTTCATCCAGCTCCACACTGTGTTATTTCTAAATACAGTTTTTTTTCTTGTCCCTCCTAAAAGTGTCTGACAAATAGAAGCTGAGTCATACTCAACTGGACTGGTCACTGATATCAAGATCTTTAAAAAGAATGAGAGGAAGAACAATTTGGTAAGTTTCTTTGTTAGGTGCTGCCAAAATTAATACATTTTTCTACTGAACACTGTCAATCAATTCTGCCATAGCCCACAAAATAAATTTGGAAAAACTCACGAGTTGAAATGCAAGAGTGTCCCAATCTCAGTCTCCCCAAATATCTCAGCGTTTCCAATTCAGCTATACCCAGGTCAAAGCTTTTATTTGTTCATCAGAATAAAAGTTAAGTTCATTACTGGTAAATCAGAACCTCAGCAGACAGGAGTATGACATTAGCAGGAGTAATTTTGATGTACAAATGTAAAATTCACACTGAGCATTGCTCTTCCCATCATACAGGGCTCCATTCCATACCATTTCTGAGCTTCTCTTGGAAAAGGTCATTGTTGTCATTGCTTGTCAGATTGAGAAGTATGTGTTTACCTGTATGTCACTTCCAGCCCGCTGTCCAGTATAAGGCGACTCCAAGTAATTTGAATTGAATTGATTTTGAGCACATCAACGCGGGGAGGAGAAGGCTTGGAAAGTGGCTGCAGCTTCTTCAGGGCGAAGTCTACTTCCTCCAGTAGGTCCTTGCCAGCAGTGGGAGAGCAGGCCACAGTCTGTCCATTTAGAACAGAATGCAAGTCAGTCTTCGAAGATGCATCATAACCTCCAGGACTCTGTGTCTATTCGAGTAATGCCATGGTCCCACAGATTGAGCCCAAGGATTAAGGGCAGAATTCTGCCAGAGGATCACAGCAGGAGAGCGTTGGTTACACTGAGTGAAGCTGTGTCAGATTGGCTCCGCGATCATGTCCCACCATCGGGGCATTTTGCCGATGGAGAGGACCATCCAACTGGATGAAAGAAGGAACCTCTCTGTAGCCATTCTCCAAAGCCAGAAGGAGCAGGAGTGCAAAGAGGGTTCAGGGGCATGGAACCACTAATCCCTCCCCATCCCACTTGTCTCCGCACATCTGCTCCTCAGGGTGACCATCTCTTATAGAATCATAGAATCCCTACAGTGTGGAAACAGGCCATTGAGCCCAACAAGTCCACACTGCCCCTCCGAACAGCATCCCACCCAGACCCATTCCCCTAACCCTGCCCTGTAACCCTACATTTCCTATGGCTAATCCACCTAATTTACACATCCCTGGACACTACAGGCAATGTAGCATGGCCGATCCGCCTACAAAATAAAATAATGGACATTTCAACTATGGTATTAGAAAGCAAGTAATTTCACATCCAGGCCACCAGATGGTTTAGTGCCAATGTTTTCACTCAAAGTCACTTTGAGGTACATAACATGTGCAGCATGGTGGCTCAGTGGGTTAGTACTGTTGCCTCACAACACCACAGACCCAGGTTTGATTCCCCCCTCGGGAGACTGTGTGGAGTTTGCACATTCTCTCTATGTCTGTGTGGATTTCCCCCCACAATCCAAAGATGTGCAGGTTAGTGGATTGGCCATGCTGAATTGCTCCATAGGGATGTGTAGGCTAGGTGGGGTTAGCCATGGGAAAAGCAGGGTTACATGAATAGGGTAAGGGGGAGGAATGCTCTTTGGAGGGTCAGTGTGGACTTGATGGTCTACTTCCCCATAATTATGAATGCTTGGCTGTGATCTAAAATTCAATACTAGATCAGCTTGGCAGGGGTCTGTTTTTGTAACTGAAAATGAACTGTTTGCTTTGACATCTTTTTGAGGTTATAATAGGCTATTATTTTCTGCTTCTTTCAATAATTGTATGTTTGTTTTGGCAAGTTTAAGAGCTTTGAAGTGAGATAAAGTTTCTGTTCTTGACACTGTAATAGCTTTGTTCCACTGATAATTTTATAGTGTGTTGCAAGAGAAGCAGTACTTTAAAAAGCAGATTTTTAAGTATTTCTTTGTTCATATCTAGACCAGCCATTGTTATATAGTTCATTGGTTCTGTAGCGCATTCCTTGTTCTTTATTCTGTCATGGGATTGGGCATCATGGCTATAGTCAGCATTTGTTATCAACTTCTAATTGCCCTTAAACTCAGTAACTTGCTGAGGGTAGTTTCAGAGGCTAGTTAAGAGCCAGCCACATTGAGCTACGTAAGGGGCATGGTTGTGTGGAAGACATGGAAAGAGCAAGTAGGGCATGAAAGGAGCTGGGAGCATTGAGGGAGCATGGCCCTGGAAGGCGAATGGATGAGTATGTTGTATTGGGGTGAGAATGGGGCTGGGAAGATGTATGAAAGAGGCAGAGACCGTGTACAGAGGACGTATGAGGAAGACCTTTTAAAGGTGCCATTCGAAACATTCCCGAATCCAAGATATAGTTCATGACTCCTTGGAACCACGGAGAACCATGATTCCTGAAGATTCTGGCTCCCGCTCTACACAAATTGCAATGGGATATTGTCCGTAGTTTCCAGGGATGTGCAGGGTGGTTGAATTAACCATGGTAAAATGTGGGGTTATGGTGGAGGATTAGGTGTGGGTGGAATGCTCTTCGGAAGGTCAGTGTAGACTCAATGGGTTGAGTGGTCTCTTTCTGCACTGCAGGGATTTTATGACATGAGGTGCCTTCTTCTGCAATGGAATAGGTCAGATTGGATGGGTTCACTATCCACAGCCTTATCCCATGCTGGGGAAAACTGATAGGGTTGGGGGCAGTGGGTGTTGGATTAGGAACCCCGAAATTGGGCACCAGTCACTGTTTCAAAGGCCTGTAGAGTTTGCCCTACCCAATGAAAACCCAGCCTTGACACTTCAACTTGAACAGGAAGTGCTCCCCCTAGTGTCTCAGCACAAATAACTGCAGCCCACAAGAAAATTTATCAAATGAGCTGCTAGTTCTATCAGTTCTCATTGGACCAAGTTTGAGTTAAACACTACGTCCAATGTCGTTATTCAAAGAACATTTACACTTTACATTTCATCAACAGAGAACAATGAAAAATTTGCCATGTTGAAAGCTGGAAAATAGTTTTGAAACCATGTAATTTCAAAATATGATAAGGTAAAACCGAGTGGAAATTCTCTGCATCTTTTAAGACCATTGAAGTTATTTTCAGCTAACTATCAATTGGCAGATTACAGCATAGGAATTCTCAGAGAGAAGCTGCAGTGTATGATATGAGAAATAAAAGATTCCATTTTCTTGGAATTCAAGAATCCAGTTTCTGAGAGCGACACTGTGAATACTGGCATAAAGGGAATTTGGCAGAGCACATTAATCACAAAACTAACAACTGCATTTGTACAGCACTAACATTCAGGAAGATAAATGGTGTAGTGGTAATGTGGTTTGACGAGTGATCCAGGACTCCAGTCCAATGTTCTGGGGAAAATGGATTTGACTCCAACCGCAGCAGATGGTGAACTTTGAATTTTTAAAAAATCAAATCTGGAATTAAAAAGCTAATCTAACAGCCAACGATTGTTGGTAAAAATCCATCTTAATGTCCATCCGGGGAGGAAATCTTTCGTGGGTCTGGCGTGTATTTTACTCCAAACCTACACCAATGCAGTTGACTCCAATTCCAATTCAGTTAAAGATGGGCAATAAATGTTGGCCTAACCTGTGACAGTCATGTCCCACGAAAGAATAAAAGAAAACTGACATCTTTAGTGGAGCAAAATACTTCACAGAAGGAAAATGCAACAAAACATTGCAGTACAAGGCTTTAGCACAAGTAGATAAAAGCCTGATAAAAGAATGGGTTTAAGGAGCTTCTTAAAAGGTGGAGGGAGAAGAGGAGGCTGATCCCTACCACTACATAATCCCTTTCCAGTAAAACCTATGGAACTAGTGAACCAGTTATCCATCACCGGCAAGACCACAGCATCAACACTGTAATTACATGGCAAGATATACTCTGCGCTTATACTCTGTTACAGCCCTATAATAGTCATTAAAATCTTTAATTTTTCTTTCCTTTGCCAGCTTTCTCCCTTTCCACATTGATTCCTAACTGGGATATAGTTCCATAGGAACTGGATCCTTTCCGGTCGCTGATACAAAGTGACATTTAAGTGCGAGTGGAATCAGTAAATTTTCTGTCCAATGCACACAGGAAAGTGCTGGAGCTAAGCCAGGCGTCATACTCACCGAATATCCTTATCAATCCCTTTCCAACGGGGATTCCCTGGGCAGTCACTGTGTGAGGGAATTGTAGTTGATTAGCTGCTTGCTGATACAGGAGCTATGAGGCCGACTGTGACATTTGGAACACGATGTAAGCAGTGATCTGTTCATTCGGCAGAAACTGGAGACTGAAACCTGAACTTTACACATCTGTGCAGCTCACTGCTTATCCACTGAGACTGCACATCAGAATTCCTATATGAGTGACGGCTGGTACTTGATGGTATCATTCAAAATAAATTGTTGAATTGCTTCTGATCGTCTCAGTTATATTTCACCTCTGTGATGTTATGTGCCAGGCTACTCCTTACCTTTAAAAGTGCTGATATTTTGGGGTGCTCTCTCAGTTTCACAACTCCCTTTGGATGGCTGCCTAACACTTTCAGTGTCCTGCAAAGTACAAAACAATATTAAAACAGCATTCCTCATAAAACAGTCAAATACTGAGTCACTGTCACTGGTGCCTTCAGAAAGATTTCCTTTCTTCTTTTACAAGCTGGAGACTGTTAGCCATATCAGTTGGCTCAGATGAGTGGCCTTCATCTTCTGTAATGCTGGTGAAAATCAGCAAGCCTGGCAAATAAACAGCGTTAATGGCTCTTTCGAGCTGAAGGCATGGCTGGGGAGTGGAGTGAATACAACACCCTCTTCTCTCCACCATGGTGATCTAATGCTGGAATAGTCTTACTGTTTCCATCAAAGTAATTGAGTGGCCACCATCAAGAGATGCAGAGAGAAAAGACAATGACTCTAAAACAAGTTTTTTTGGCTAACATGTCCCAGTATAGTTAAATGTCACAGTAGTACACCTGCCCAGATTTTGCAGAGAAGTAGGATTAACATCAGGAGTGTGCATAATGATGTCAGAGTCATACAAGTCCATATGCTGGAAAGTGGGACTACAGTAGATTTAACACAATTTTGACAGTACAGACTCAATGGGCCAAAGGGCCTCTTCTTCACTGAGTGATTAGCTTAAGCTGTAAATAATATGTCGGCTGTGTATCTTGATAACTTAAACCCACATGGTGTGAAGGGGATTTCCGATGAAGAGTCATCTAGACTCAAAACGTCAGCTTGCTCTCTCTCCATGGATGTGCCTGACTCGCTGTGATTTACAGCATTTTTGTTTTCATTTGGGTTTAGGGGAGTGGCTCTGAGTGCGGTAAGGAGTCTCTTCAGAAAGGATTTTGTAAGGACCTTTCCTGAAACAGGGAGCAGGGAGATGCTGCTGTAATTCCAACAATGGGACCTGCCACCTTTTCTTGAGGATTGTGAAAATGCTTGAAGTCATTCAGGACTTCCGCTTCATTCCAGACTGTTGCAAGAGCATTGTTGGTTTGATTATATAGTTCCTAAATAACATACTCTGAAAGCAGGGCATCTTCTCTGAATTCAGCCAGAAGAAATGCATCAAGGATACGCTGAAGAATTGCAATATTGACATCAACTCCTGGAAGGCCAGTGTTCTGGACCAAACCAGATGGAGGTTTGGCTTGAGAGGGATAGCTATTGATAATAATGAACAAGAGTTCCTGCAGTAAGTCTCATTGACTTAATTTGGAATTCTAAATAGAGTTGCACTGAAAAATACATATCAAAACAAACTTGAATAGAATAGAAAAACATTTCAAAATATATCGGCTACTCAAGCAATTTTTCAACACGCTACGTTGCATTTACTGATCGCAGTGATGTAAGATTATATTGGCACATGTCAAGCCACCAATAAGACATGGAAGGCAGGTCTGCAAAATTGAAGCACCTTATTTTGAAGCAACACAGAATTGCCAATAATTTCTCTTAGCAAAAATTATTTTTATTACATGACCATCATCTGGTGAACTATGAGCCTACAAGTTGTACACTTTATTCAGGTTACGCACATGGCAGCAAACCAAGCTGACTCCTGCTCTTTGGATGCCAATAACGCACACAAGGTGTTGAGTATTTCTGGGAAGATGGGGTTCTTCAGGATATGAGCGTGGCCATCTTTGTCCGTTGCCAGGCAACTCAGTGCAAAGCAGGCATTTTTGCTTCCTCCAGTATCTCCGTCTGCCATCATCTTCTCTAGTGTCGTGATCTGCAGCAGGAGAGGTCAGGGATTCAGATCAGAGATGTCACACACAATACGGGAACCGAGATGAGGGAGGACTGAGCATCAGACTTGTCAGAGGCCCCCAGTTATGCAACCCTCCCCCCAAGGTCAAGGTCAAGGTCAAGATTCATGTTACATTTCACAGTCAGAGCTAACTCAGGCTTCACAGCCAAAGATTCTCCGCTCAGACCAAACATTAAATATTCTGAATGTTGAAGCTCTGAAAGCAAAGGAGAAAAAAAGTGCTGGACAGCACTCAAAAAGAGAAAGCTAACGATAGACTGAATGTCCTCCTTCTGCACTATAGATATTTTTACACACCTCTGGAGCAGATAGGACTTGAACCTAGGCTTCCCAGTCTAGGGGTAGAGACACCACCACTTCACCACAAGAGGGCCCCAATGCACTTAAGCAATTCTGTAGGACAAAGGTCTTCCAGGTGAATATCTATCTAAAGGCACAATAAAATAAAACAGAATCTCTGGCTGGGATTTCTCAGAATTAAGGGTGGGATGGAGGAGTTGAGTAGGGAGTGCACAGACTGACCATGCCTTACTGCTGCCTTGATATCTTGTCAGCGGTATGCAAAAGTGAGAGTGATCAAACCACGCAGAGGTTAATCAAAAGCCTTACTGTTCAATTAAGGGCACATGAGGGTCTCCTCCCACCACTACAGGGCAAAAAGAATGTAACTCAGCAGCTTCCTACAGCCCACAGAGGGACACCTCTACTACAATACACTTTCCTACCCCTCACTTTCCTGACTGCCCCCACTCAGCCTGACCCCACTCGCCTCTTCTCATCTGAAAGTAAAGTTCCCTTTTAAACTGGAAGTAAACGGAAAGTGAAGCTTACTCGACACTGTCCCCATCAAATGCTCCTGGGACATGGAGAGCACGGAGTTAAATACAGGGAGAAGCTCTCACTACTCTTTCCAACTTAAGGTAAAGTTGCATCGACTCTCTTAAACTGAAAGTAAAAAGTTACCCCGATATCGACACTCCCGGGACAGGGACAACACGGGGTTAGATGCAGAGTAAAACTACCTCTACATTTTTAAATTGAAAGTGACTGGAAGGTAAAGTCCTCTAGACACTGTCCCCATCAAGGGAAATGGATGGCTGTGATCGCAGACAGAGAAACACAGAAAACAGGACTAAGAGTAGGACATTCAGCTTTCAAACCTGCTCCACCATTCAATATGATCATGGCTGAGGTCAGATGATTCATTGCCATGTTCCCACTTTCTCCCCACAACCTTAGATTCCTTAAGCCCTAAGAAATATATTTATCTCTGTCTCGATGTATTGGCTGCAATTGCTTTTTACTCTCTGGCTGACGACATTTTTCCTCACCGCTATCCTAAATGGCCTACACTATGTCCTTAAAATGGAATCCCTGGTTTGGGATTCTCTAGTCATCAGGAATATCTTGAGACATAAGACATAGGAGCAGAAATCAGGCCATTTTGCCCATCGAGTCTGCTCCGCTATTCAATCACGGCTGATAAGTTCCTCAACTCCATTGTCCCGCTTTTTCCCCGTAACCCTTGATCCCCTTGATAATCAAGAACCTTTCTATCTCAGTCTTAGATGTACTCAATGACCTGGACTCCACAGCCTTCTGTGGCAGTGAATTCCATAGATTCACCACTCTTTGGCTGAAGTAGTTTCTCCTTATCTCCATTCTAAAAGGTCTTCCCTTTACTCTAAGGCTGTGCCCTCGGGTCCTAGTCTCTCCTACCAACGGAAACATCTTCCCAACATCCACTCTGTCCATTCCATTCAGTATTCTGTAAGTTTCAATCAGATCCCCCTTCATCCTTCTAAATGCCAATGAGTATAGTCCCAGAGTCCTCAAATGCTCCTGATATGTTAAGCTTTCCATTCCTGGGACCATTCTCGTGAACCTCCACTGAACCCACTCCAGGGCCAGTACATCCTTCCTGAGATATGGGGCCCTTGCATGTTTCTTGAATGTTCCCCTTCTAGTCCAGTTAGAGTTTCATAGGTTTCTATGAGATGCCCTCTCATCCTTCTAAAGTCCAGTGAATTCAAAGAACAAAGAAAATTACAGCACAGGCCCTTCGGCCCTCCAAGCCTGCACCAACATGCTGCCTGTCACAACTAAAACCCCCTACCCTTCCAGGGACCATAGCCCTCTGTTCCCATCCTATTCATGTATTTGTCAAGACGCCCTTTAAACGTCACTATCATATCTGCTTCTACTACCTTCCCCGGCAGCGAGTTCCAGGCACCCATCACCCTCTGTGTAATTAGCTTGCCTCGTACATCACCTTTAAACCTTGCTCCTCACATCTTAAACCTATGCTCCCTAGTAACTGACTCTTCCAAAAAAGCTTCTGACTACCCAGTCTGTCCATGCCCTTCATAATCTTGTAGACCTCTATCAAGTCGCCCCTCAACCTCCATCGTTCCAGTGAGAACAACCCAAGTTTCTCCAACCTCTCCTCATAGCTAATGCCCTCCATACCAGACAACATCCTGGTAAATCTTTTCTGTACTCTCTCCAAAGGCCACCACATCCATCTGGTAGTGTGGCGACCAGAATTGAACACAATATTCCAAATGCAGCCGAACTAAGGTTCTATAAAGCTGCAACATTACCTGCCAATTTTTAAACCCAATGCCCCAGCCAATAGGCAAGCATGCCATTTGCCTTGTTGACGACCTTCTCCACCTGCATTGCCACTTTCAGTGACTTGTGTACCTGTACACCCAGATCCCTCTGCTTATCAGTACTGTTAAGGGTTTTGCCATTTACTGTATATTTTCCATCTGGATTAGACTTTCCAAAATGCATTAGCTCACATTTTTCCGGATTAAACTCCATCTGCCATCTCTCAGCCCAAGTCACCAACCGATCTATATCCTGCTGTATCCTTTTACGGTCCTCATCGCTATCTGCAATTCCACCAATCTTTGTGTCATCGGCAAACTTACTAATCAGACCAGTTACATTTTCCTCCAAATCATTTATATATATTACAAATAGCAATTTGTATTTGAGAGTCAAACACATTGCTGTGGGTCTGAAGTTACATGTAGGCCAGACCAGGTAAAATGGCAGCTTCCTTCCCTAAAGGACATGAGTGAACTAGATAGGGTTTTCCCAACAATTGGCAATGGATTCACGGTTATCGTTTGACTCTTAAATCCAGATGTTTATTCAATTCATATTCCACAATCTGCCATGGCAGGATTCAAAACCAGGTCCATAGAACATTCCCTGAGTCTCTGCAGCAATGGTACCACTAGTCCATTGCCTTCCCCTGTTCGATGGGCATTGCGGTGTTTATGACATTATTGTTTAAGGGCAAAAGTGAACAAGGTGAGACGGGGTAATGGGTTAGTGGTGAATGGCCATAGAACTGAATTGCATTACTTTAAGCTAATGAGTGAATTAAGAAAAACTGGGGGGGTCTGTTACAGTCACAGCTTTAGTTTCTTTACTGGTTCTGGTTCCATCCTCTTTCGCCTTGCATCATCATCTGCTTTCTAATATAATCACTCCAGCCTTTTATCACATCACAGACCTTCCCCTTTGTTATTTAGTCACCTTCACTTCACTTTCTGTCCTCTGCACTTCCATAAAAGTCTTTCATTTTATTTACTTGTGGGGCATGGGCATCGCTGACTGGGTCAGCATTTATTTCCCGTCCATAGTTGCCCTTGAGAAGGTGGTGGTGAGCTGCCTTCTTGAACCGCTGCAGTCTATGTGCTGTAGGTTGACCCACAATTAGGGAGTGAGTTCGAGTATTTTGACCCAGCGATATATTTCCAAGGCAGGATAGTGAGTGGCTTGGAGGTGAACATACAGGTGGTGTTCCTATGTACCTGCTATTCTTGTCCTTCTGGATAGTAGTGCTCGTGGGTGTAGAAGGTGCTGTCTAAGGATCTTTGGCAAGTTTTCACTTTCCCCTGTCATGATGCAAAGTCATTAATCTGACACAATGGCCAGAATTTTCTTGAGTCTTTGTTCATTCAGATGCAGGAAGGAATGAACAAATGGTGATAGAAAACACCGCATGGTGTTCCATGCCTTTTAACCAACATGTCACATTACAGCACAAGGAATGGTGGCAGAAGCCACTACCTGAAAGCCAATTGTGCCACTTAAGTGGCCAAATTGAGCCTCTTCCCATCACTGCAGACACTTTCTCAGTGCTAGTGGGTGTCACCACCTGGGGAGACAGCCTTTGGTTTGAGTATTCCTATGGTGCCAAAAATTTACCTTCTGAGGGCTAGAGCCCCCTCAATAAAATTGGCACCACCTGTCTTCAGTGACTAAGCTCCAGGACCCTCACCATGGTATGCCTGAATCATCCCAGTGCCCCAACCATGCTTCAGATGCTTTGAGAGCCTGCCGGCAATGCAACAGCCTTTTCCTCCAAGTGTGCCCGAGGCAGTGTTATCAGTGATGCCACTGAGCTACCATTTCTCTTCCAGGGAGTAAGGGGGAGGGAGGGATCTGCCATCCTTAAGGGGAGGGCAGACCTGGCGGCTGGCAATTAATTGGTTAACTCCAGTGAATGCAGCCTCAATTACCATAGAACAATAGACGTACAGCATGGAAACAGACTCTTGGATCTATTTGTCCATGCTGACCAAATATCCGAAATTAATTTAGTCCCATTCGCCGGCATTTGGCCCATATCCCTCTATGCCTTTCCTATTCATATACCCATCCAGATGCCTTTTAAATGTTGTAATTGTACCAGTCTCCACCACTTCCTCTGGCAGTTCGTTCCATACACGCACCACCCTCTGTGTGGAAAAGCTGCCCCTTAGATCCATTTCAAGTCTTTCCCCTCTCACCTTAAACCTATGCCCTCTAGTTTGAACTCCTGTACCCTGGGAAAAAGACCTCGGATATTCACCCTATCCATGCTCCTTTTGATTTTATAACCCTCTATAAAGGTGACCCTGTCAGCCTTCGATACTCGGGGGAAAATAGTCCACGCCTATTCAGCCTTTCTCTATAGCTCAAACCCTCTAATCCCAGCAACATCTTTCTTTTCTGAACCCTTTCAAATTTAACAACATCTTTCCTACAGCAGGGAGACAGGAATTGCTCACAATAGTCCAAAAATGGCCTAACCAATGTCCTGTAGAGCCACAACACAACATCCCAACCTCTATACTCAATGCACTGACCAATAAAGTCACCTGCCGCAGTGGGCAGCCCTGTTTCTCGTGGCAGCAGAATCTCCATTGTGCCTTGAACTATCTTGGCCTTCAAATTTGCTTCTCCTCTGACAATGATGCTGCCTCATCCGCTCAGTGTTTTCTGAAACTGCTATACCTCAGCAAGTCCCTGCTGATCGAAGCGAGGCCTTCATGAACTCACCATATTGGGAGCCTCCTCCATTTCGAGGATCTGCTTGCGGCCTACGTCCAGGTCACAGAGGCGTCCGAGTGCAAAAGCAGCACTTGTTCCGCAGCCTGCAGTGAAAAATAAGACAGGGTTATGCCCTCATTAGCAATAATAATGGGCTGAATTCTAATAAAGATTGGTTGAGTATCAATTTTGGAGCATTTCATAGAGGACTTCTCTCCGGGAGCTCCAGTGAGTTTTCTCATGCTATTCTTTGCAGCACAACCCATTACATATGCACCATGGCTCTAAGATACACCACCCAGGCTATTGTGCACTTCATAATAAAGGAAGTCCTTGCTATTGCGTAGACTACCTTGTTTAAAGTTAAGCACTGTCAGCCAGGAGCTGAGATCCCCTTTCATTCTTTTACACTCCAGTGAATGCAGTCCTAACCAAACCAATCTCTCTTCATCAGTTCAACCAAGTGAGCAGAATTCAAGAAACAAGTGTAAACCTGTCTTCCAGGCTCATGCGATGGATTTTTAGAAATATCCATGACACTCTCAAAGTCGCTGCGCCACTCCAGGCTTGGTGGGGGCAAAAGAGGAGAGCGGAAATGCTTTTATAATACCCTGTGTGTGTCCCTGAAGGAGTCAAACATACACGAGAAATGCCTGGGTTGTTAACAAACTACATGGAGGAGGATTGTTTCAGAGAGCACAGAGTAAATTGAAAGACTCTGTCAGGACGGTGAAATTGAGGCATGGGAGGGAGTACACGTACCTCCAAACAACTTATAGACCAGTCCTTCAAGGTCTACCTGCCCTGGTTATAACAGAGTCTGGAAACCTTGCATCAGACCTATAGCCATCTCAGAACCGATTGAATCAGAGTGCAAGTCATCCCCAATCCAGATGGACTGCTTAAGAAAAAGAAACCCTTTTCCCCCTACTTTGTTTCTCCATTCCATGTGACCTTCCCACTTCATAGCTGGGTTTGTTGCATGGTTTCCTAACCTGGGTCATTCTTTCATTCTCAGTAATGTAAAGCACCTTACATTCTCACCTTCCTACCTTCTCCCTAAAGCTGGCCACATTTTTAGACCCAATCCCAGTCTCATCTGATCAACACCTCTGGATTTAAATTCTTTCCAAAACATGTCAATGTCCAGGGTTCTGAGGAAGGGTCACCGGACCCAAAACGTTAACTCTGATTTTTTCCTTCACAGATGCTGCCAGACCTGCTGAGCTTTTCCAGCAACTTCTGTTTTTGTTCCTGATTTACAGCATCCGCAGTTCTTTCGGTTTTTATGTCAATGTCCTTGCAGTTTTGGATAATAGTCCTTTCATTTAATAAAATGTCTTAATAAAAATTAAAAAAAGCAAACAAACAAACAAACAGATAATCAGAATGTTCATTAAATAATAAGTAATTGCTGTTCGGGATACAAGCTGATAGTACGGATAAGGGAGACTTTTGTTTCTTGATAAAGGCTCACATGTCCTAACAAGTTGAGTGTACCTTTTAAACCAGACAATAAATTAATCATCAATTGTTAGGTCATTTTGACCTCTGTTGCACATAAATATTTCCAATATCACTTCCTGACCAATATCTTTGAAAGATCTATACACACCTTGAATGCATTCTATTTCTGGTTGAGGAACCGACTAAGGAATGTGCCTTCAATTTGAACATTTTTTCCATTGCACTGTTGGTCCAAAGATTGACAATTTCATCTGACTGCAGCGTAAATCACAACTTTCAGAAAAGTGCACAACACAAGCCTGCATTTTCACAGCATAACTGAGCAGCAAGGTCAATGATTACTTGAGAATAATTTATCGTTCTTCAACATTCTGCTTTATGCCAACCAATAAGGCTTGTTTTCCCTGCTCTTCCTTTCTGCTGAGGTTCGACTGGGTCAGAAAAGGACCAGTGATTACAAATCCTCTGCTTTTGTATTCACTCTCAGTGAAAAGGTAATGTACACACAATGAGCACATCTGATGTATCCACTTATGAAACTTGTTCAGAGAGCCATAAGGGGAGGTGATGGCATAGTAGGTTCCCGATCCAGAGACTCAGTATAATGGTCTGAGGACATGGGCTCAAATCCTACCATGCCAAATAAATTCAGACAAAATCTGAAATTAAAAAGCCAGTTGAATGCTGACTTTGTAACCATTGTCAATCATTGTTTAAAACCCAGTTCATTAATGTCCTTTAGCTAAGGAATTCTTTCACTTTTGCCTAGATTGGTCTACCTGTGACTCCAGACCCACAGTGACGTGATTGTCTTTGAACTGCCCTTTGGGCAATTACAGTCATAGAGTCAGACGCACGGAAACAAATCCTTGGGTCCAACCAGTCCATGCCAACCATACTCTCAAATTAAACAAGTCCCACCTGCCTGTGCTTGTCCTATATCCCTTCAAACCTTTCCAATTCATGAGCTTATCCAAGTGTCTTTTAAAATGTAACTGTACCCGCATTCAACATTTCCTCTGGAACTTCATTCCACATACATAGCACTCTCGGTATAAAAACGTTGCCCCTCATGTCCTTTTTAATCTTTCTCCTCTCACCTCAAAAATATGACCCCTAGTCATGAAATCCACCACCCTAAGGAACAGACCTTTGCTATTCACCTTACCTACACCCCTCATGATTTTAAAAGCCTCTATAAGCTCACTCCGCAACCTCTTACGCTCCAGCGAAAGACATCCCAGCCTATCCAGCCTCTGCTTAGAATTCAAACCTGGCAACATCCTGGTAAATCTCTTCTGAACACTCTCCAGTTTAATAATATCCTTCCTATAACAAGGTGACCAGAACTGGGCACAGTACTCCAGAAGAGGCCTCAGCTAGTAACACCCACATCCATGAACAAATAAACTAAAATATATAGACAGACTAGATCACACAAAGAATATGGCAGTCTCAAGCAAGTTCACTACAAGACCAGTCCAATAAAACTTGGTTGGTTTGGAAGTACAGCAGCAACATCATTTTATAAAATGCTTTTATGGAAAAGAAGATCCCGAAGCTCTTGGCAGCAAAGTTATGAAACACAGTTTGAAACCAAGTCACATTAAATGTTATGAAGGCAGCAAACCAAAGGTTTGGTCAAAGAGATACACCTTAGTGGAGTATAGAGAGGTAAAAAGGCAGAGATTACGGTAGGGAATTTCAAAACTCAGAGCCTTGATCGCCAAAGCCATCAGCAAAGTTGCAATTAAAAGTGACCATGTTTAAGAGGCTGGAAAAGCGAGAGTACAGATATCTCAGAGGGTTGCACAGCTGAGAAAGATGACAGAGATAGCGAGGGGTAAGGCCATCATTGAGCTTGAGAACAAGGATGACAATTTTCAAATCGGGAAGTTGCTTAACTGGGAGGCAGTACAGGTCAACAAGGAGAAGGATGATAGGTGAGTACTTGATTGGTGAGTAACACTCTACCTTTGGATTTGAAGGCTATGAGTTCATACCACATCTCAGGAGTGGAGATCAGCATTGCTAAACAATGCACTGTCATCATATAAGTGAGGCAGGAAACTAACAAGTCTATCAGCTCTTTGTGGGGTCATTAAGATACTTTACTATGATACTTGATGAAATTCAGCATTTATATTCTTCTGGCTATCAAATATCACTAAAAATACAGGGTAATTGGTTATTGATGTCATTGCTTTTCCTTTGCCTCGGTAATTGCCTTTGGGGTGGCACAGTGGCTCAGTGGTTAGCACTGCTGCCTCACAGCACCAGGGATCCAGGTTCAATTCCACCCTGTGGTGACTGTCTGTGTGGAGTTTGCACATTCTCCCCGTGTCTGCGTGGGTTTCCTCTGGTGCTCTTGTTTCCTCCCACAATCCAAAGATGTGCAGGCTAGGTGGATTGGCCATGCTAAATTGCCCACAGTGTTCAGGGATGTGTAGATTAGGCAGATGGTCTGTGTGGGATGCTCTGAGTGTCAGTGTGGACTTGTTGGGCCAAAGGGCCAGTTTCCACACTGTAGGGATTCTATGATCAATGAACTACTATTCTCCAAATGTCATTCATTTTATGGAATAATTTGCATTGCTTTTGTTAAATGGTAGCTTAGGAACAGAAATAGGCCATTCAGCCCCTCCGTCCCTATTCAATTTGAGTTCTGATCTCCCTGTTTTAGGAAGGATATTATTAAGCTGGAGATGGTTCAGAAGAGATTTACCAGCATGTTACTGGGAATGGAGGACTTGAGTTATAAGGAGAGGCTGGATAGGCTGGAACTTTTTTCACTGGAATGTAGGAGGTTAAGGGGTGACCTTACAGAGATTTTAAAAATCATGAGGGGTATAGATAAAGTGAATGGAAAATGTCATTTCCCTAGGGTGGATTTCAAGACCAGGTGACATATTTTTAAGGTGAGAGGAGAAAGATTTGAGAACGGCATGAGTGGCAACTTTTTTTTTACAGAGTGGTTCGTGTGTGGAATGAACTTCCAGAGGGAGTGATGGGTGCGGGTACAGTTATAAAGTTTAAAAGACAGTTAGATAAGTACATGAATAAGAAATGTTTGGAGGGATATGGGCCAGAGCAGGCAGGTGGAACTAGTTTAGTTTGGGATTATGTTCAGCATAGACTGGTTGGGCCAAAGGGTCTGTTTCTGTGCTGTATGACTCTATTACGCAAAGTCATCTCTTCCTCTAAGCTCCAATGGATACAAGCTAGTTAGACCACACTTGGAATATCGGGTACAGTTCTGGTCACCACACTACCAGAAAGATGTGGATGCTTTGGAGAGGGCACAGAAAAGGTTTACCTGGATGTTGCCTGGTATGAAGGACTTTAGCTATGAAGAAAGGTTGCATAGACTGGGTTTGTTTTCACTGGGATGCAGGAGGTTAAGGGGCGGCCTAATACAAGTTTATAAAATTGTAAATGGCACGGATAAAAGTGGAAAGCAGCAGCGAGAGCAAGACGGTGAGGCAGCCCAGAGCAGGATTCTGGTGGAGGCATGG